CTCACTCACTCCTTCACTCTCACAGAGAGACAAACACACTCCTTCACTCACTCACAAACTCCACTCACTCACTCACTCCTTCACTCTCACAGAGAGACAAACACACGACTCCACTGAACCACTGAACGCTCACTAGCCCCCCCACCCACCACGGTAGCCCCCCCCCCCACCGTGTTAGCGCCCCCCCCCCCCACGGCGGTGCAGCAGCGTCACCTGAGAGAGCGCCGGCTGGAAGGAGGCCGTCTGGCCCAGCGAGGGGGGCGGAGGGTGCAGGCGCGGCTGGGCCGTGAACAGGTGGCCCACGTTCATGTAGAACGCAGGGCCCCCCGCAGACGACGCAAACACTGGGGGGGGGGGGGTGAGAGGGGGTGAGTATTGTGGGTGCACGCTCCCCACAAGACGCACACACGCACGCGCCGCACACGACTCACTCGCACCACACCCGCAGTCACACGCACCGCACCAGCGCCGCACCATGCACACACACCGCACACACACACACCGCACACACGCACCACACCACACACGCACCACACCGCCGCATGCACCCGCACACACGCGCCGCACCCCCACTCACCGGGCAGTGACGGCGGCGCCAGCGACGGCACCAGCATGGGCCCGGCTCCCGCGTCAAACGGGCCGTACCCGGCCATCGTCGCGGCACCGCCACCGCCACCGCCCCCCACCGCCGGGACGGTTGTGGGCGGCGGTTGTTGCGGCGGCGACTGCTGGTGCGGGTGGTGCGGTTGTGCCGTCGGCGCCAGCTGCTGGTGGTGGTGGTTGTGGTGTTGTGGGGGAGCGAGCGGGGGCGAGCGGGGGGCGGCGTGGGGGAGGCTGGGGGAGTTCTCCCAGGCCTTGCGAGCAAACTCCATCTGCGGACGCGAGCACACACACACAAAGATAAAGATCCCCCATAGAGCCTTTAACAAACTGCCGGGGCAAGTGCTGTTAGCGAGCTCCTAGGAAGGCCGGCGCTGCGGCAAACGAGAGGGTGGGTTTCCCACACCGCCTTTGTCTCCCCAGTGGCGATGTTTACCACACACCGCACCAGGAACTCATTTGAGGCTGAGTCGAACCTAGGGTAGGCCCAGGACCGGTTCAGATAATCGTCACTGGTGTTGGCCGTGAGCGGGAATCGATCTCGGGTGGCCGGGTTCATAGCGCGGCGCGCTAACCGCTACACTACCGCTCCCCACACAAAGACAAAGATCCCCCGTGTAGCCTTTAACAGACCGCTGGGGCAAGTGCCGTTAGCGACCGCCTATGAAGGCCGGCACTGTGGCACACGAGGGGGTGATGGCCAGCATCACGCCCGACCGCCTTTGTCTCCCCGGTGGCAATGTTTACACATGCACAGACACACGCATACCCACTCGCTCGCCCACCCACCCAACCACGCACCCACAATCACACATCCCCTCACCCACACTTTCACTAAAACCCGCACACTGACCCCATGCCACTCTGGTATCTTCGCAGAACAAAGGACGATAATGGCACCAACACTGGGGTGACACCAACACCCACGCTCCCACCGTGCCCTACTCTCCCCGTGTCCCCGTGTCACCGTGTCCCCGTGCCCTACTCTCCCCGTGTCCCCGTGTCCCCGTGCCCCCGTGTCCTACTCTCCCCGTGTCCCCGTGTCCCCGTGTCCCCGTGCCCCCGTGTCCTACTCTCCCCGTGTCCCCGTGTCCCCACTCTCCCCGTGTCCCCGTGCCCTACTCTCCCCGTGTCCCCGTGTCACCGTGTCCCCGTGCCCTACTCTCCCCGTGTCCCCGTGTCCCCGTGCCCTCTCCCCGTGTCCCCGTGTCCTACTCTCCCCGTGTCCCCACTCTCCCCGTGTCCCCGTGTCCTACTCTCCCCGTGTCCCCGTGTCCTACTCTCCCCGTGTCCCCGTGTCCCCGTGCCCTACTCTCCCCGTGTCCTACTCTCCCCGTGGCCCCGTGTCCCTGTGCCCTACTCTCCCCGTGTCCCCGTGCCCTACTCTCCCCGTGTCCCCGTGTCCCCGTGCCCTACTCTCCCCGTGTCCCCGTGTCCCCGTGTCCCCGTGCCCTACTCTCCCCGTGTCCCCGTGTCCCCGTGCCCTACTCTCCCCGTGTCCCCGTGTCCCCGTGTCACCTTGAGCGTGAGGTCGGCGGTGGCTGGAGAGTCGTGGGCGAGGTCAGAGGGCAAACCTCCGGGACGCGACACCGACACCCCGGGCAGCGTCACCTGCAATGCACAAAGACAAAGGTCCCCCACGTAGCCTTCAACCGACCATCGGGGCAAGTGCTGTTAGCGAGTAGTGGTGCCCATGAAGGAGGGTGGTGGGTGGTGTGGTCAGAGTGAAGCCCAGCCCCCCCCCCCCCGTGTCTCTCCCCCCCTGCCCCCCCCCGCGTCTCTCTCCCCCCGCATGTCTCTCCCCCCCGCGTCTCTCCCCCTCTCGCGTCTCTCTCCCCCCCGCGTCTCTCTCCCCCCGCGTGTCTCTCCCCCCCGCGTCTCTCCCCACTCCGCGTCTCTCTCCCCCCCGCGTCTCTCCCCACTCCGCGTCTCTCTCCCCCCACGTGTCTCTCCCCCCCGCGTCTCTCCCCCCCCCGCGTGTCTCTCCCCCCCGCGTCTCTCCCCCCCCCCGCGTGTCTCTCCCCCCCGCGTGTCTCTCCCCCCCGCGTCTCTCCCCCCCCGTCTCTCCCCGCGTGTCTCTTCATCGTACCCTGGGCCCCAGGCTCTCGGCTGCAGACAGCCCAGACGCTGTCTTCACGTCTTCCGAAGACGCGAATCCCGGACTCTGCACGACAAGACACAGGCAGTCACTATACACAGAAATGGTCAGAGGTACACAAAGACAAAGGTCCCCCCCCCGTATAGCTTCTAACAAACTGTTGGGGCGAGTGCTGTTAGCGAGCGAAGGTCCAAGAGGGTGGGTGGCCAACACCACGCCCGACCGCCTTTGCCTCCCCAGTAGCGATGTTCACTACACACACCACAGCACCAGCTACTCATTTCCGCCCAGTCAACCGAGGGGAGGCTCAGGACCGCTTCAGACAATCATTACTGGTGTTGGTCGAAGGGCAGGAATTGCCAGGTGCACCACGCGCACGCAGACAAGACGGGCGACGGACGGACGGGCACCTTGAACGCGGGCGAGTGCGTGGCGCCGCAAGGCCCGTGCCCTCCGCCGTCGGCGCCAGCTGCGTGCGGAGTCCTCTCCGACCTCCGCTGGCGCAACCAGCGCTCCTTGCCGATGGGGCCGGGCCGGTGTTCCCCCGCGGAGGGACCCCCCCCTCCCGAGACCGCCCCCACGCCGGTGCCGCTGGCCAGCGCCACACGCACCGCCTCGCCCAGCTGGCGGCGAGGAGGGGGGAGGGGTCATGCGAACGCGGCGCGGGTTACACGGCTATCAATGCGCTCGCTCGCTCGCTCACTCACTCACCCGCTCGCTCGCCCATCCATCCACAACTCAAATACCGACCGACCCACCCACCAACCCACCCACCTACTAACCCACTCAATTACTCACTCACTCAATTCTCCATTACAAACCCACCGACCCACTCACCTACCCACACACCCACTCACCAACCCGACCCACCCACCCACCCACCCACTCTCCGACCCACCCACTCACCCACCCACCCACCCACCCACTCACCCACCCACTCACCCACCCACTCACCCACTCACCCACCCACTCACCCACTCACCCACTCACCCACCCACCCACCCACTCTCCGACCCACCCACCCACCTCTCGAGCGTCTCCTCCGAGAGCCCCCGTCACCGTCACCGCTCTCTGCTCCTTGGCTTCGGGCAGAGCGGACGAGGAGGAGGCGGACGACGAGGAGGTGGACGAGGAGGAGGTGGTGGACACCGACACCGCCGCCGATGCCGTCGATGAGGTTGAAGATGAGGACGAGGAGTTGGAATCGTCCGAGCTGCTGGCCGACGCTGGGGCGCTCACTGACGAGGTGTAAGAGAAGGAAGAGGTCCAAGATGACGATGATCACGAGGAGGAGGAGGAGGAGGCGGTGACGTCGGCGAGAAGGCTGCCGCTGGCATCCCCCGCCATTCACCACTACGGCTCTCGTGCCAGGCTAGGTGCACCTCGAGGCCATCGCGTGAACCAATGAGCGGGTGAGTCAATGGGCGAGTGATTGAGTGGGAGACTGAATGAGCGGGCGAGCGAGTGATAGCGAGTTTGTGAATGAACAAGGGAAGACTGTATTCCACCTCCCCCCCCCCCACACGTCCCCCCCACACCTCCCCCTCCCCCCCCCACCTCTCCCCCACACGTCCTTCCCCCCAGACCTCCCCCCCCCACACCTCCCCCCCACCTCCCACGTGCCCCCCCCACACCCCCCACACCTCACCCCCCACCCCCCCCCCGTGCCCCCACCGGGAGACTTTGCCGAGCCATATGGGGAGCTGCGCTGTGAGGAGTTGGCAGAGGAGCCGTGCGAGTCCATGCTGAGATCCACGCCGCTGTCGTGCTGGCTGGCTCGCGGCGCCTGGGGGAGACAAAGACGGACGGGGGGGGGAGGGGGGCGGGAGGGAGGGGAGGGGGGGGAGGGGGGGGCTCAACGATTTGGGAGAAAATATCTCACTGCGATTTTTCTGACAGATATTGCGACTACATTTTTTATGTTCAAAATTCACTGTGATCGATTTAAAACGCGTGATGGAGCATTACCACGTGATACCATCACAATATTAACTGCTCTATATATCAAATTTCGATTTAAAGCTTTCGTGACTGCAGGGATTCATCTTCTTGGTTCTTTCGGTAAAGTCACGTGGGTAGAAAAATATCACTGGTCAACAAAAAAAAACATGTTTTTCTGGCCTGGACTTTTGCAGCTGTTCTAGACTAATTTCAGGGTGCCGATTCCAAATCTGATCTCAGATTTGCTCTATCACATCTCATTTTTATGCTATCGACATACCCCATTTTCATTGATTTAACCTGAAATTAACTCTGTCACTTATGATTGCAAGTTGTTACGAGTCAGTGACTGCTTTAGTGTTAAAATATGGTGCTGTGTTTTTAGGATCGTGTGTTTATAATGTCATTTTATGTAGATATACACATTTATTTAATATTTTTCTTCTGCAGTTTTTACTGAAAATGCAATATTTGATATCTCAAAAACCTGATGTGATAGACAAAAACCGATTGCAGATTTGGAATCAGCACCCCAAAATCCGTTGGAATACCTTATGCCAGAATAAGTATAACCCGTAAAAACAAAGTTTTTCACTATAAATCCTTTATATGCGTGGCGGCTAGAGTCCTCTCGTCCTCTGGCTTGAGATGGCTGCCACCTATGGGTCAGATGATTGCCAGTATTAAGCAATTGGTAATTAAATATTTAATTTGTTTTCCCTAAACAGTGTACAATTTTGGAAAAAAAAATTCACGAACATTGTCTCGCACAACGAGTCTGTGTGCAGAATGTCAACTCGATTGGATCACGGGAAGTGGGTTAAAAAACGACCGAAAGATTTGCACGGTCGTAAGCAAGCAAGCACGCAAGCACGCAAGCACGCAAGCAAGCAAGCGAACTTAATATAAAGGATTTAAAAAGTGTGTTGACCAGTGTAATAGCTCACGACGTGTCGATCGCAACAGCTACTACAGCAGTTTGTGTTCTTGCTGTGGTTGTCCCACTTAATGACGATTCCTCGTGTTGCGGTCGAAGAAACGTCGTGATCTAGTACTTTTCTACCCACGTGACTTTACCAAAGAGTATAAAGTAATAGGACTTTTCAAATCGCAAAAAATCGCAGCCTTTGCGATTTGATAATCGCGTCGTTTCAAATTGCGATTTCGATTCGAAATCGATTCATCGTTCAGCCCTCGAACGGTATGGGGGGCAGCGCTTGACATCCTGGGTCTGTCTTGAGTGTCTGTCTCAAGGGGGTCATCATTGCAAAAGCGTTTTGATTCCTTACCCGTACCCGTACCCGGCCGCACCAGGGTCGCAAACGGGTACCCGTACCCGGCCGGGTACGAGTAGCCGGGTATCGGGTAGGGTACGGGTATCGGGTACCAGGTTGCGACCTCTGGTCATCATCACAATGGCCGTGTCGCTACCCCCAGGGGCCTTACCTCGGTGCCGGCCGTCACGTCCGCCACGCGGAAGGAAGCGAGGGGCTTGGTCCAGGCGCTCACGGGTGGCAGGGAACAGCTGATCGCTCCAAACGCCGCTGTGGCACACGGCATTGTGGGAGGGAGACAGAGGTGGGGGGGGGGGGGGGTTAGGAGGGGGAGGGGAGGGTTGTGGTTGGGTCACGTCAGAGGTCGCAAACGGGTTTTGATTCCTTACCCGTACCCGGCCGCACCAGGGTCGCAAACGGGTACCCGTACCCTACCCGATACCCGGCTACCGGTACCCGGCCGGGTATCGGGTAGGGTACGGGTACCTGATTGCGACCTCTGGGATGAAGCCGTGTTGCAGGCGCGGGTGGCTTGATTCTAGGAACTTGAATTGTGAGAAGAGACAAGACGTTGGGAAATGAGTGACAAACAGTTACTCACCAGTGACTCACGGCCTACCCGTACCCGGCCGCACCAGGGTCGCAAATGGGTACCCGTATCCGTACCCGGCCAGGTACGGGTAGCCGGGTATCGGGTACCCGGTTGCGACCTCTGGGTCACGTGCGTACGTTGGAATTCTTTCGCACCGTACGTAGCCAACCGTGGGTGTGTGGCGGTTAGCGCGGCGTACGCTACGAACACGGCCAAGACCCCGGGTTCGATTCCCGCTCACGGCCAACACCAGCGACGATTATCCGACGCCGGTCCTGGGCCTCCCCTAGGTCGACTCAGCCTCAAATGTCGTGGCCATGTCAAATGATAAGAAAACTTTTTTCTTCTTGGTTCTTTCGGTAAAGTCACGTAGAAGGGAAGTAATAAAATAATAAAAATGAAACATAATAAAATCATTCTCACGACGTTTCGGCCACAACGCAAGTAGCCGTCCTCAGGTGAAGACCAGGTCTGGCGTTGTGGCCGAAACATCGTGAGAATTATTTTATTATGTTTCATTTTTATTATTTTATTACTTCCCTTCTACGTGACTTTACCGAAAGAACCAAGAAGATGAATCCCTGCAGTCACGAAAGCTTCAAATCGAAAAAAAATTATAATAATAATTTAAAAAATCATCGACACCCGGGGCGACAAAAAGAGGCGTTACCATCACCACCGCCCACCGCTGCCCCACACGCTCACTCACTCACTCGATTTGACCGTTACGAACCCACGCTCACATTTCTTGACGACGTCCGTCAGGATGGAGGGCGACGGTGGCAGGGCCTCCCACGCGGCGGCTTCTCCTCCTCCCCCTCCGCCCGGTGCCCTCTGCTGCCTCCGTACGGACGTCGCCGCTTGCGCCGCCGCCGTACCCAGCGAGTGGTCGGCGCCCTTCCTGTCGCCGCGATCGCACAGCGGCAACGGGAGCTCGCCGACAAGTCTGCCGGACAGAGCCGGGTGGGGCGCCTGCTGCTGCTGCTGGTGCTGCTGGTGCTGCTGCTTGCGAGCAAAACGGGGCGGCACGTTGGAGCGCTGGGCCTTCGTCTTGTCGACGGCGCGCGCTTTCGAGAGGCCGACGGTCGGCGCGGTTGCGGTTCCGGCGTTGGCGGAGGCCGTGGCGGTCTTTTTGGGAGCGGCCCAGGGCGGGTGGACGTGTGTGTGTGTGTGTGGGGGGGGGTAGTAGGGGTGAGTGGGTGTGTGTGTGGGGGGGGTAGAGGTGGACGTGTGTGTGTGTGGGGGGGGAGGGGTGGGCGGGTGGACGTGTGTGTGTGTGGGGGGTAGGGGTGGGCGGGTGTGTGTGTGGGGGGGTAGTAGGGGTGGAGGGGTGTGTGTGTGAGGGGGGGTAGTAGGGGTGTGTGGGGGGGGGTAGGGGTGGGTGAGAAAGAAGATGGGGGGTTGAAAGGTCAAAAGGTCGTCACGGAGCTCGGAGCCAAGTGCAAGCGAAAGGAACCTAAACACAATTGACGTCCGTGGCTAAAAGGGAGTACCCCGATACACATAAATACGCTCATCCGGCTTACGACCAAAGTCGGTCGAACGTTACTCCCGGCCGCCCAACAGCCTCCAGGGTGGGTGGGTGCCCCGACTCACCCGGCCCCCGCCCCGGCCGCTGCCCGTGGTCGCAACCGGGTACCCGATACCCGTACCCTACCCGATACCCGGCTACCCGTACCCGGCTGGGTATCGGGTAGGGTACGGGTACCCGTTTGCGACCCTGGTGCGGCCGGGTACGGGTAAGGAATCAAAACCCCACCATTGGTACCTCATTTGCCAGTAAAAAATATGATAATTGTTTTTTTTACTCTTTTATCTGGCAACAAAACTGACACCTTTGTATACTCTTAGTTCTTTCGGTAAAGTCACGTAGGTAAAAAATGAAATTAAAATTAATAAAAATTTATTTTTATTTCATTTTTTTACCTACGAAAGAACCTAAGAGTATGAATCCTTGCAGTCACGAAAGCTTCAAATCTAGAAATTACACCTTTTTGTCAGTTTTGTTGCCAGATAAAAGGGTAAAAAAACAATTATCAAAACCCGTTTGCGACCTCTGCCCCAGACCCTAGCTCCAGGCGTAGCGAAACCCCCCCCGCCCCCCAAGGCACAAGCCCTCGCGTAGCGGGCGAAGGCCGTAGGCTAACGGAACACCACGCCGTCGTGAATTCGAGTCGATGGCCGAGCCAAACGAATGCCCCTGGCTGGTACGAAAACCCCGAGCGGGGGCAAGGCCGCGGGGCGCGCGCTCGCTCGTGCTCACGGAGAGGCCTCTGTCCTCGTGTTGCCGGCGCTGACGTCGCGAAACCACCGGGGTGAAGCCGTCCACGGAGGCCGCAGCGCCGCCACCGCCGCCACCGCCGCCGCCACGCGACAGCACCGGGACCGCCTCTCCATCCTCCTCCTCTTCATCTCCCGCACACCCGGCCACCTCCTCCTCCTCGTCCTCGTGATCTTCGTTGTCTTCATCGTCCCCCTTCGGGCGGTGGTCGATCACCACCACGCCTAGCGGTGGTGGGGGGGGGGGGGGCGGGAGAGCGTGGGGAGGTGGAGAGGTCTGGGTCTCAAACAGAGGTCCGCAAACGGGTTTTGATTCCGTACCCGTACCCGGCCGCACCAGGGTCGCAAACGGGTACCCGTACCCTACCCGATACCCGGCTACCCGTACCCGGCCGGGTATCGGGTACGGGTACCCGATTGCGACCTCTGGGATGAAGCCATGTTGCAGGCGCGGTTGGGTTGATTCTAGGAACTTGAATTGTGAGAAGAGACAAGACGTTGGGAAATGAGTGACAAACTGTTACTCACCAGTGACTCACGGCCTACCCGTACCCGGCCGCACCAGGGTCGCAAACGGGTACCCGTATCCGTCCGGGTACGGGTAGCAGGGTATCGGGTAGGGTACGGGTATCGGGTACCCGGTTGCGACCTCTGGTCTCAATCGAGTAGCTGGTGAGCTGGGGGAGACAAAGACGGCCGGGGCGCGGTGCTGGCCACTCGCCCCCCCCTCTCTCGTGTGCCGTGTCGGCCTTCGTAGGGGCGCTGCTGCTGCTACTACTCACGAACAGAACTTGGTGAAATTCCCTTGGTCACCACCGCCGCTATCAGCACCACCAGAACCGCCATCACAAACTAAACACAAATCTAAACACAAAAATAAACTAAAAAAAACAGCTTTTTGTGTTAAGTTTGTTGTCCTCCCATTAGCGTGGTTGGCTACGTACGGTGCGAAAGAAGTTTAACATAATTACGTACTACACTATACACTACACACAATGCTATACACTCACTACACACTAATATACACTACACTATACACTACAATAGACCACACACTACACCACGATACACGGACACCACAATACTAAACTGAAAACTAATTTCGACGGAACTGCAGCTCTGATTAGAGCGGTTGGCTTCGTGCTAAACAACTCCAACGCACACACACAGACACCCACACCACACGCTCACCACCACTAAGCAACCACCATCATTTACACCATTGGAACCTCATTTGCCAGTAAAAGAGGTTCCAATGGTGTAAATGCTTTACCCCGAGCTCTCACTCTGATGGTGCGTTGTCTTTGAGTTGTGCGCCTACAACTACACTATACACTACACCATGTGAGACTAGGCTCTAAGGAAAGCTGTCTCGGGTGTGGACCAATCAACTTCAAGGACAGTGCACATACATTATCAGAGTTGTGTTTTTTGTTTGCATTACGACTGCAGGTATTGCGCTCTATGCAAACATGACTCCTTGTAAAAAAAGGTGTCAGTTTTGTTGCCAGATAGAAGGGTAAAAAAACAATTATCATATGTTATACTGACAAATGAGGTTCCAATGGTGTAAATGCTTACCCCGAGCTCTCATACTCTGATGGTGCGTTGTCTTTGAGTTGTGCGCCTTTTGGCGTCATCTGGTCCAACACCATGTGAGACTAGGCTCTAAGGAAAGCTGTCTCGGGTGTGTACCAATCAACTTCAAGGACAGTGCATACATTATCAGAGTTGTGTTTTTTGTTTGCATTACGACTGCAGGTATTGTAGTCAATGCAAACATGACTCCTTGTAAAAAAAGGTGTCAGTTTTGTTGCCAGATAGAAGGGTAAAAAAACAATTATCAACCACCATCATCACAACCACAGCCGACATCTCCAACAGCGCCACCTCTCTCCACACACACACACACCGCACCAGCACCGGGCAACCACCACCGCCATCAGCACCACACCAACCACCACCACCCTCTCACCGGCGTAGTTGTTGAGGTCGAACTGCGCCAGCGCGTCAGTCTTCGCCGACCTCCTGCTAGCGCCCACTCTCCCCTGATGCTGCTGCTGCTGCCCTTGCTGGCGCTGCTGCTGCTGCTGCCGCCCCCCGGAGCCGTCACCGAGCCTCCGTGCGGCGCTGGCGGCGTTGGTGACGGCGCGAGCGATGGCGCCCGGGTCGCTGGGGATGACGCGGTCGACGCGGAACACGGCGGCAAACGGGGAGACGGACGGCGCCACCGCGGCCGATCCCGCCGTGGGCGGCTTCCGAGATGGGGGGGGGGGGGGGGGTTGGGGGGGGGGGCTGGTCAACTCTACGGTTCCGTGAAAGTGGTGGTGTTGGTGTTGAAGGTTATGGTAGTGATGATATTGATAGTGGAGGTGATGATGATGGTGAAGTGATGATGTTGACGGTGGTGATGGTGTTGATGGTCATGGTAGTGATGGTATTGATAGTGGTGTTGATGGTCATGGTAGTGATGGTATTGATAGTGGTGGTGTTGATGGTCATGGTAGTGATGATATGGATAGTGGTGATGATGGTGTTGATGGTCATGGTAGTGATGGTATTGATAGTGGTGGTGATGGTGTTGATGGTCATGGTAGTGATGGTATTGATAGTGGTGGTGTTGGTCATGGTAATGATGGTATTGATAGTGATGATGGTGTTGATGGTCATGGTAGTGATATGGATAGTGGAGGTGATGATGGTGAAGTGATGATGTTGACGGTGGTGATGGTGTTGTTGACAGCAGCGATGATGCTGATGATGGTAGTGATGATATTAAGAGTGGTGGTGGTGGTGGTGTTGTTAACAGTGGTGATAATGACAACGGTGGTCACGGAAGTGATGTTGTTGACTGTGGCGATGATGCTGATGATGGTAGCGATGATATTGATAGCGGTGGTGATGGTCATGGTAGTGATGATATTGATAGTGGAGGTGATGATGATGGTGAAGTGATGATGTTGACGGTGTTGACGGTGGTGATGGTGTTGTTGACGGTGGCGATGATGCTGATGATGGTAGTGATGATATTGATAGCGGTGGTGGTGGTGTTGACAACGGTGGTGATAATGACAACGGTGGCCACGGAAGTGACGATGTTGACGGAGATGATCGTGTTGGCGACGGCCGTGATGATGATGTTGACGATGGTGTTGGAGGCGATGTTGGTGATGACGACGACGACGACGACTTTGATGACGATGACGACGCGCCGCCTCTCACCGGGTCGCGGGCGTCGGCGCCGTCCGGAGCCGGGGAGATGGCTCGTGTCCCCGTGTCTCCCAGCGCGTCCTCCACAGAGCTGAGACACCACAGAGACACGGAGATTGGTGTCTCCCTGCCTCTCCATTACCCCGTGTCCCCACCCTCCCTTCCCCGTCTCTGTCCTCCTGCCTCCACCCGTGTCTCCCCCCGTGTCTCCCCCCCGTGTCTCCCCCCGTGTGTCTCCCCGTGTCTCCCCCCGTGTGTCTCCCCCCGTGTGTCTCCCCCCGTGTGTCTCCCCCCGTGTGTCTCCCCCCGTGTGTCTCCCCCCGTGTGTCTCCCCCCGTGTGTCTCCCCCCGTGTGTCTCCCCCCGTGTGTCTCCCCCCGTGTGTCTCCCCCCGTGTGTCTCCCCCCGTGTGTCTCCCCCCGTGTCCCCCCCCGTGTCTCCCCCCGCGTCTCTCCCGTGTCTACCCCCGTGTCTCCCCCGTGTCTCCCCCCGTGTCTCCCCCCGTGTCCCCCCCCGTGTCTCCCCCGTGTCTCCCCCCGTGTCTCCATTTCCACGACTCCCCGTCTCTCCCGCCCCCACACCCCCCCTACTCCCATCACCCCCCTCTCCTTCCCATACCATACCCCCCAGCGCCTCACCTGCGCCTCCTGCCTTTAGACCCCGGGCCGTTCCTCTTGTCTGCCCGCGCGTTGCCCGCGGGGCTGGCCCGCTGGTGCCGCCCCCCCCCTCCTCCTCCCCCTCCGCCCGCGTAGCCCTGGCCCTGGCCGGCGCCGTTGCCCACCGGGCGACGATTCTGGCGGTCGAGGGGCCGCTGGCTCGAGAAGCTACGCTTGGCCGACGACGACGACGACCCCGGAGCGCCGTCCTTGCGGCCACCCCCCCCGGACTCCGCCAGATCTGCTGGGGGGGGAGCGGGAGCGGGGAGGGGGGGCGCAGGCAGCAAGGTTGATCACGAGCAGTTCAGGAATTACTCGAGATCAACTGCGGCCGCGGCTTGCCGATCAAGTGCGTGGATCGTTACTCACCGACAGCACTTGCCGAAAGGCTTCGCCGGGGGAAACTCTGCCGCCTTCGCGTCCACTCACCGTCGGCCGCCGCCCCCTCCTGCGCCGGCGCGGGCGCCAGCGCCAGGGCGGCCTGCAGCGCGTCGTCGCGCTCGTCGCGCTCCCGCCGGTCGTTGAAGTCGCTGCTCTCCGACGCCGTCTCCCACTCCTCGTTGGCCTGGTCCGACGAGTTCTGATTGGACAGGTCCGGCGACTTGCTCCCCGACGCCACGGCGCTGCCGCCGGCACCACCGGCGCCGTTTGCTCCGGCGGCGGCCACCGCCGCCGAGTTGAGTTGCGCCGGCGCGTCGCACGAAACCGCGGCCGCGTTGTTGTTGTTGTCGTTGCCGCCGCCGCAGCCGCCGCAGTCGTCGTCGTCGTTGCCGGCGCCCGCCGGCGTCGGCGACGACAGCGGCGACAGAGTCTCCACCGAGCCGGCGCTGCCCGAAGCGGCGACGGCAGCCGCCGCCGCGGCCACCGCCGCCGCGGCCGCAGCGGCTTCGCGCTCCTGCTTGAGGCGCCGGAAACGCGGCGGTTTGTCCTGGCGGGGCGGCCGCGCCGGGCGCTGGCGCCGAGGCGGTCGCTCCGCCCGGCAGCGCTCGTTGAAGCCGGGCCGCCCGGCGCCGTCCGCCGCCGGCGGCCCCCCCCCCGCCGCCGCCGGCGAAGACGCCGACAGTGGGCAGCAGCAGCAGCCGTCGGGGCCGGCAGGGCAATCGACGCAATCTGCCGTAGGGAGCAAGGGGGGGGAGGGGGGTGGCGGTGAGGTACCGGGGGATCGAACCCACGGTCTGGGAAAGGGCACCGGCTGTTGGGGGTTACGCACATCGTACCCCCGCCCCCCCAACCACCTCCCCCGCTTTCCCCGCTGGCATGCAGCGGCCTCGCGCAACGCGCGGCGTTGGCTCGGGGTGGGGGGCCAAGCAGGGCCAGGGCTATCGATACGTTCACCCCCCCGGCGTGCGACGCCGTGGGTTTAGTTGAGCCGAATGATGATCTTAGACACCCCCCCTACACACCCAACACCCCCCCCGCCCAATCACCAATAAGCACATAAATAAAAAATTAACCCGTAAAAACTAAGTTTTTCACTATAAATCCTTTATATGCGTGGCGGCTCGAGTCGTCTCGTCCTCTGGCTTGAGATGGCTGCCACCTATGGGTCAGATGATTGCATTGCACCATTAAGCAATTGGTAATTAAATATAAAAAAAATCCTAAAAAGTGTAAAGTTATGGAATCTTTTTTCACAAAAATCAATTGTCACGCACAACGAGTCTGTGTGCAAAATGTCAGCTCGATTGGATCACGGGAAGTTGGTTAAAAAACGACCGAAAGGTTTGCACGGTCGTAAGCAAGCAAGCAAGCACGCAAGCAAGCAAGCAAGCGAACTTAATATAAAGGATTTAAAAATAAAACATAAAAAAATAATTCTCACGACGTTTCGGCCACAACCCAAGCAGCCGTCCTCGGGTGAAGAACAGGTCTGTCGAGAAGACAGCGTCTGAATGAGCACCACCATGCTTGGCAGCGTATATTTATTCCTTTGTCAAGGCGCTCTTCCCCCTCCAACCCAGCATAAATATACGCTGCCAAGCTTGGTGGTGTTCATTCAGACGCTGTCTTTCCGACAGACCTGTTCTTCACCTGAGGACGGCTGCTTGCGTTGTGGCCGAAACGTCGTGAGAATTATTAAATGTTTAATTTTTATTCTTTTATTATTTCCCTTCTACGTGACTTTACCAAAAGAACCAAGAAGATGATGTAGGAACGAACAAATGAATGGCTATAATAAAATGAAATGGCGGGGGTACGATACGAAGGGAGAGTTTGAGGCCTAGTTCTAGGCTTTAGGCCTAGCTGTAGGCTTTAGGCCGCTGTGAGTTAATTTTTAACTTAAATGTTTTAATTAAAAATTATCTCAGGGAATTATAAGGGAATGTTACACTTGTTTAGCCAGAAAAGCCTCACTGAGTCTAAAGGTTTTTGTAGGGTCCTGCCAAGTGTTTGCAGTAGGGGGCGATGTTGCTACACCTAATCGGACATTGGACGGACGGACGATATAATCTATTGTAGGCTGGTTCACTTCGTTCCTACCAGTAATATTATAATATATATCAAGGTACGTGGGGTGGTTGGGATCCATGTAAAGCGTGAATTTGCGTAAGTTGGGGTTCGCCCATAAGAATGTATATACACACACGACTATATACTACTATATTACTGCTATATACTAGTAAATCACTACTATATACTCCACTAGATTACTATATATAACTTTACGAGTGTAGATGTAAAAAGTAAGTGTATATAAAATGTACTGTAAATGATTCACTAATCGTCTGTCTCCATATGTATAAAAGGCAAACTTGTGATGATGTGTGTCTGTTCAAAATGTTTAGCGTACTTCCCGACATGCAACAAACTTCATATTTGCCATGTGGGTACTTATAAAAATACACTTGTGTTTTTTTTTGGGGGGGGGGGGGGGGAGCTCAATAATGCATCGATTTTTTTGCACGGCAAGTGAGCTGTGACGTCACATCTGTCACGTGACCCGCGCACGTGGAAGCGTAACGCATTGTAGCGTAGCGGTTAGCGCTACGCCGCGCTACGAAACCCGGCGACCCGAGTTCGATTCCCGCTCACGGCCACCACCTCAGCCTCAAACGAGTAACTGGTCTGCTGTGTGAACATCGCTACTGGGGGGACAAAGGCGGTGAATGCAAGTCCCGGGCAAAGCCGGGTAGTAAAGCTCGTATGTTATAAATGCGAAAGATGCGAGCGCTTTGGTGAGACCTGTTTCTCGCGCGCGGGGGGGGGGGGGCGATGCGGGTTAAACGCCGTCACCGAAGAACGTGGTCGGACGAACCTCCGGCCAACGACAAGACGGAGGGAGCTCTCCCCGTGACCTCGTGTTCCACGGGGGGTGGTGAAGAGGGGTTAACGACGTAGGGTCACGGTTCACGTGCACGAGCCGGTCGAGATGGGCGGGCGGCGTGACTCGCCTCGGCTGCCCGCTGCCCCGTGCGTGCGAGCGAAAGTGCGCGTCGTGTGTGCAAGCGCGAATCGGGGGGTCAGGGTACTCAAGAGCCCCTTGCCATACCGAACAAAAATTGTACGTGTGAACCAAGGTTACGTATGAATGCGGACACGATTCCTCGTGAAAGGTTTCAGTTTGGTGTTTTGACATCTTGACACCTGTTTTGTCGGCAGAAAAAAGGAGAAAAGCTATTCCCAAGATTACGTCAACAATATATTCGTCTTGATTTCAAGCTTTCGCGACTGCGGGAATCCACGCTAAAACGCGTTAAGCACCTCAACGCGCCTCGCACACATCCCACATACCCACCACCGTCACCAGCCATTGCCCGGCGGCAGTTTGACCTCACTACCCCTTTCACTACCTACCACAATCACTACCCCAATCACTACCTACCACAATCACTATCCCTATCACTACCTCAATCACTACCCCTATCACTACCTACCACAATCACTACCCCAATCACTACCTACCACAATCACTATCCCTATCACTACCTCAATCACTACCCCTATCACTACCTACCACAATCACTACCCCTATCACTACCTACCACAATCACTATCCCTATCACTACCCCTATCGTAATCACTACCCCAATCACTACCCCTATCATTATCCCAACCCCCTATTGCCATCCCTACCACTAATCCCTGCCCTGGTCCCCAGCTAAAACCAGGCTTACCCCAAACCCTCCTTCACCACTTTCCGTCTGTCCTCCTGTCACCGTACAACAGCACTTAAACTATAGAACTAGCTCCTTTTTCAAAAGTGACCCGGCCACAAACGATGATAGCTAAACGAAGTGGCTTATCACGTGGAGATTTACAGCGGCCAACTACTCTAAACATGCGATGATTCTAAATTTGGGGGGGGGGGGGGAACCGGAGGACCCGGAGAAAAATCCACACGACCACGGGGAGAACATGCAAACTCCAAATATACAGCAGCAGGCATTGTCAAGGTCGGGATAGAACCCACGACCTCCTGTATACCAGGCAAGGTAGTTAACATCTCGTCATATTATAACTCCAAATATACAGCAGGCATTGTCAAGGTCGGGATAGAACCCACGACCTCCTGTATACCAGGCAAGGTAGTTAACATCTCGTCATATTATAACTCCAAATATACAGCAGGCGTTGTCAGGGTCAGGATCGAACCCACGACCTCCTGTATACCAGGTGAGGTAGTTAACATCTCCTAGCCACACGCAAACTCCAAATATACTGCAGGCATTGTCAGGGTCAAGATGGAACCCACAACCTCCTGTATACCAGGCGAGGTAGTTAACATCTCCTAGCCACATGCAAACTCCAAATATACATCAGGCGTCAGGGTTGGGATCGAACTCACGACCTCCTGTACACCAGGTGAGGTAGTTAACATCTCCTAGCCACATGCAAACTCTAAATATACAGCAGCAGGCATTGTCAGGGTCAGGATGGAACTCACGACCTCCTGTATACCAGGCGAGGTAGTCACCAACATCTCAAAGCCACCTGCGGTATTGACCGGGAGGGGGGGGCTACTGCCCCCCTCCTTCCTGGATTGTAACCGCGCCAACCTCGGCCGAGTGCCCTGAACAAAATTCGTCGGCTTCAATTGCAACGGTTTCTTACGCTCAGAATACAGGCAAAGCGTGGTGCGCGTGACAATGGTTTTATTTTGTACGCAAATGGCTGCGAGAGAAACCGTACAAATGGGACAGTGACAGATGTTTGATGGGATACAAGGGGACGGGAGGGGGGCAACGTCAAGGTACAAAGCTACGAGCATTCCTGGCAGCGATTTCAGCCGCACCACCTCTACATAACAAAAGGCTCAGTCAACCATTCTACACAACAAAGACTCATTTTCTGGCAGCGATTTCAGCCGCACCACCTCTACATAACAAAAGGCTCAGTCAACCATTCTACACAACAAAGACTCATTTCCTGGCAGCGATTTCAGCCGCATCACCTCCACATAACAAAAAGGCTCAGTCACTTTTACACGCACCTTTACATCATCCGCACCTTGTTTACACAACAAAGGCTCATTCCTAGCAGCGTGCTTCAGCCGCACCGAACCTCACAAAAATAATATCCAGAGCCTACCTTGGCTCCTCCCACCCTCAACCAGTAAATATAAAAACACGGTTTTCCTGTAATTTCTCTCACTTGATACAGCTATCGTGCTGTGACGGTTCCAACTGAAGACGGAAGCTTGTGTTGCCTCCGAAACGTCGTGATTTTTATTTTATTTGTATTTTACTTTTATTCATTTAAATGTTTTACCTACGTGACTTTACCGAAAAAACCTAAGAACATGGACGAGGCGGTCGACTTCTCCGACCGGACTACGGATTGTGAATGGCGATGATTTTGCGGAGGAGGAGAGCTGGGGGGTTGTTGTTTTTTATTATAAATCACGGCCGAGAATCCAATACCGGCACCACCAGGGTGGGTGGCCAGCACCACGCCCGGCTGCCTTTGTCTCCCCAGTAGCGAAGTTTACACACCGCACTAGGTACTCATTTGAGGCCGAGTCAACTTAGGGGAGGGCCCAGGACCGGTTCAGATAATCGTCACCGGTGGTGGCCGTGACCGGGAATCGAACTCGGGTGGCCGGGTCCACGACCGTTCCCCCAACATACATACTACCACAATCACCGCCATCACCACTACCACCATCATCATCATCACTCACACCACCACAAAAACAATCACCACCCCCAAAAGCCATCACCATCATCACACTACCACCACCACCGCTTAAGCACTCACAACACAAGACCCGTTCGTCTCTGCGGGTCTTGCGGTCCTCTCCACGTCTCACCGTGCTGGTGCTGCCGCTGCTGCTGCTGCTGCTGGTGCAGCTGCTGGTGCCGTGCCGACAGCACCATGCTGGCGCGCGCCACGCCCCGCGACAGCGCCCCCCCACGGCCCCGGCGACTCGGCTCCCCCCTCGGCGCAAACGGCCGGTCCTGCTTCTCTTCGCCTGCGGCCGGCGCTGGCGCCGATGCCGACGCCGCCGCTGGCGCCACGGCGGCCCTCACCGCTCCAAACCCCGCCTGCTGCTGCTGCTGCTGCTGCTGCGGCTGCTGCTGGTCTAGCCCGAGCAGCCGAGCTGGCGCCAACAGCTGCTGCTGCTGCCCACGGTTGCCGCCCCCGCCGCTGCCGTTGTTGTTGCTGGTGGTGCCGGACGCCTCTCTCTTGCCGGTGCTGCCGCAACCGTCCAGCGCGTCGCTCTCGGCGTCGCTCACCGACGCCCGCTGCTGGCGCCGCCGCTTGGCCAGTTCCACGCCGGCGCCGCCGCCGGCATCGGAATTCTCGCTGTCGTCCTCCGCGCCCCACTGCCCGCCGCTGGCGCCGCCGTAGCGGAAGCGCGGGTCGCGGTAAACTGGGAATTCGCGGTGGTGCCCGGCGCCGGTTCTGCCCCGTGTCGCCGGTGAGCAACCGGGACCGGCGCCGCCGCCGCCGGCACACGTCCCACGCGACGCCGCCGCAAGCGAGCCGACGGCGCCGCCCCCTCTCGACACTCTCGTGCCGACGCCGCCGCCGGGGTTGGCGGCTAGCCCGCCGCCGACGCCGCCGACGGTCGCCCCGCCGCGGCCGCGGAAGACGCGCTGCTCAAAGGCCGGGTCGCGACGGCGCAGAGGCCTCGATGGCAACACCCCGCCGGCGCCGCCGTCCTTGCCGCCGCCGCCGTCGGGCGGGGGGAGCGAGCGGTCGGGGCGCGCGTCCCTCCCGCCCCCCCCCCGCCGCCGCCGCCCCCCCCCTGGCGCCAGGCTCCTTGCCATCCGTGCCGGCGTCGCCGCCCGCCGCCTTGCCGTCGGAGAAGCCGGCCGATTTGTCGTCCCGGTCGGCCGTCTTGAGGTCCTTGAGCACCGGCTTCTTGATGGGGCCGGTGCGCCGAGGAGGCTGCTGCTGGTGCTGCTGCTGCTGGTGCTGCTGCTGCTGCTGTTGGAGCGGAGCAGAGTTGCTGCTGGCGTTGCCTGCGGAGGCGGCGCCGCCGCTGGAACCCGGCTTGGGCCCCCAGCGGGTCTCCAGCTTGCCGTCCTTCCAGTGCGGCGGCTTCGCAAATTCGCCAGCGCCACCAGAGGCGGTGCTGCTGCCGCTGGTGCTGCCGGCGCTGGGCGGAGTGGCGGCCTTGGCGCTGGCCTTGCCTGCGGGAGGCGGGGGAGGATGAGAGGGGGGGGGGCCCGGACCGTGAGGTCACCCTGCTGCTGCTGCTCTATATAAGAACGGGAGAGACAGCAGAGCCTCACCATTCTGGCGAATTGCCCGATGATGCTGGATACAATTACCAGCGAAGCGTCGTGCTACTCAAATTGTAAATGTTGTGGTTTCACGCTTCAACACACCGGTGGGCTAAAGCAGTGAACTATTTGTCTTTGGTCAACGTGACACTTTTTTTTACCGATTGGCCGTGTCGGGTGATGGAGGGTTACGACACATTTATAAATAACGCGATCTAAATCCAAAAACGTTGATTATGAATATTGGTCGCGAAAGCCTGCTACGTGTTAAACCGTGAGGTTGTTGCGGGAGGTGGCGGTGGGTGGATTATCGGCAACACCGTCGTCATTAACCAGCCCGATTTGCCATCGCCGTGACAGGTACCAGCGCCAGCTTCATCAACACAAGCACCACCATCCACGCAACTAGAGCTGGCAGCACCAGCTACTCAATTGCAAAACCACCGCCACCACAATCACCACCACACTTTCACTGCAACTAAAACCTCGCAACACCATCCCTTGAACGACAATACTTTTAATTCATTTGTCTATTCATTTTAGATTTTGCTTGGTAACAGGGTTTCCAATTGCTTGGTAGTGGCTCCACATGGAAATTTGGTCCTCATATATAATGAATGTAAAGGTCAGGTCTCGGAGTACGCGACTGGCTCGGTTACACGCTTTGTGCAACTCGTACTTTCGTTCGCACGCACGGAAGCCAAGGCGAGGAAGTCACGCAGCCCGCCACCACGCCAGCTCGTGCACGTACACTGACCCACCCCCCCCCGCCGCATACCCTGAGACCTTGCTGTACAGCGTTGTGGGATACTATTAGCGTGAAAGACACCCTGTTGTTAAAATACCACAAACACCACGAGCCTATTAACAGACTGCCGGGGCAAGTGCTGTTAGCAAGCAGCGGCACCTATGAAGGCCGGCACGGCACACGAGCGGGTGAGTGGCCAACACCACGCCCGGCCGCCTTTGGTGCGATGTTCGCTACACACCACACCAGATACTCATTTGAGGCCGGGTCGACCTAGGGGATCGCCAAAGGACCGGTTCAGACAGCCCTCGGCAACGGCAACCACTTCAACACCGGCGCGCCACTCACCCTCTCCCCTCTGCCGGGTGTCTCCCCGCGCCGCCAATCCGCCCACTACGGCTCCGGCTTCGGGTTCTCTCTCCCTCTCGTCACCACGCGATGCCGAAACGCCTCCGCCGCCACCGCCACCGCCAGCTTCCTTCCTGGTGCCGCACGACGATTCTCCGCCGATCCTCCGCGGCAGTGGGGAGCGAGGCGAGTCGTCGGGCGACGCGAGCTCGGCGTGCCGGTACAGCTGTGGGCGGAAGGGGCGGTGGGGTGGGTGGGTGGGTTAGTGGGGAGGGCGGGAGGGTGAGGGGGGAGCGGTAACGACCAAGGCACACAATGGCCGCGCCGGCGTTAATTCCGGTGCGGGCGGAGGAACGCGATGGGCGCGGCGGCGATGGGGGGGGGCGGTAGTGCGGCGGTTAGCGCGCTGCCCTACGGAACCCGGTGACCCGAGTTCACGGCCAACACCGGTGACGATTTCCCGCACCTCCCATTGGCACGACGTTCTTACACCGTACCCCTGACTAGACATCTGAGAAAGAGCTTCATAGCTCATCGGATTCCTCCTGCGAGTATAAATCACCATCCTGATTCTGTGTGCGCGGACCAAACGCGGCACGTGCTTGAGACCGATCCCCCGTTTAATCGTCAGCCGGTGCGGCTCGCCGCGAATGGTCGATGGTGTGCGCCGTGATCGCATTTCCCGTCGCAGTCGCACTACCTTCTCGTAGTGAGGCAAGTGGTGCTGCTGCTGCTGCTGCTGTTGTTGCTGTTGCTGCTGTTGCTGCTGCTGGAACATCTGCTTGTCCCGGTAAGACCGCGGGGCCGATCGAATGCCGCCACCGCCGCCGCCGCCACCGTCATCAAACAGGTCGCGGTACATCGCCGGGACGTGGTGGTGCGGGGACACGTCGTCCGTGTCGAAGAGGTGGTGCTGCTGGTGCTGCTGCTCGGAGCGCGAGCCCAGCACGAGGTCACGCCTGCGCCGAAAACAAACGCGTTAAACGCATGCACGTACGCATTCGTCGCAATGTACACACGCTCGGATGACACCGGCTAGATCCCCCCCCCCCGCCCTCAACGTCCCACGACCCGCTCGCGGCGGCGCCGTGGGAGGTAGGCCCTTCATCCAGCAGTGGATGGGCGCGTTGCTGTAAACCATTATCGTACGACATTCGATAAAAAAATTAACCCGTAAAAACAAAGTTTTTCACTATAAATCCTTTATATGCGTAGCATCGGTTTTATTTTATTATTCATTTCTGTTTTTCTTGAGTAAGAGTTTCATTTTTATCACATTGGTATTTTAAATTAAATATGAAAAAAAAATTTCTCCTAAAAAGTGTAAAATTTAGGGAATTGTTTTTTCACGAAAATAAATTGTCACGCACAACGAGTCTGTGTGCAAAATGTCAGCTCGATTGGATCACGGGAAGTGGGTTAAAAAACGACCGAAAGATTTGCACGGTCGTAAGCGCGCAAGCAAGCAAGCAAGTGAACTTAATATAAAGGATTTTAAAAAAAGTTTTGCTCGCTGGCGGGCCGCAAGTTTCTTTACAAAGAATCTCCCCGCGCACTGCCGTAGCCTCTCAACCCTTTGCCAGTACGTCTTCAAGGTCGGGAGACGTACCGAGGCTCCCACAAGGCCATGCGGCGGGCAGGGGGTGTGCGTGTCGCGCCGTGTCGGCGCCGGATATCGGTCGAGTGCCGGCGGTCGTGCCGCTACGCTTCTCTGTGGTCAGCAACGACGTCTTCAAACGCAGCGGCGCTGCTGAGACTACGGCCTCCAACAACGGCGTACACGAATCGTACCCGTTGTGGGTTTACTCTCCAAAACACCGGGTGTGCTGTACAAGTAAACGAATTGGCCACGTTCTAGTTTTCGATTTAAAGCTTTCGTGACTGCAGGGATTCATCTTCTTGGTTCTTTCGGTAAAGTCACGTAGAAGAGAAATAATAAATAAAAATAAAACATAATAAAATAATTCTCACGACGTTTCGGCCACAACGCAAGCAGCCGTCCTCAGGTGAAGCGTCTGAAATTCAGACGCTGTCTTTCCGACAGACCTGTTTCTTCACCTGAGGACGGCTGCTTGCGTTGTGGCCGAAACGTCGTGAGAATTGTATTTTATTACGTTTTTATTTTTATTATTTTATTATTTCCCTTCTACGTGACTTTACCGAAAGAACCAAGAAGATGGCCCCGTTCTGTTCACCTTACTAATTGGCCGTGTCGGGTGGTGGCGGGTTTAACGACACAGCATTTACATTTACGCGATATAACCCAACAAAACATTGGTCGCGAGAGAGCCTACGCGTTGACCTACTACCAACGCCTCTCGAAACAACAATTAACGGCCGAGTCGCTCGCGCGTTCCGAGATTCAACGACGAACGGAACACCCCAACCGCCCTGCAATTTGCGTTCGTCTCAGAACGGGGAAGGGTTCGCCGGCTGTTGGGGCAAACGCTGCGAGCGGCGAGCAGCAGCAGCAGCAGCGCCTGAGCGGGGGGCAGCGGGTGGCCAGAGCCACCACGCCCGGCAAACCCTGCCGACCCCTGACACCCGTGCCCCTGCCGTACGTCCGTGCTAATTTGTTTTATTTTACTTTTATTAATTTAAATTCTTTACCTACGTGACTTTACCGAAAAAACCTAACAGTATGAATCCTTGCAGTCACGAAAGCTTCAAATCTAGAACGTGCTAAGGAGTTTTTGCGGCTCATCGGATCCCTCCCGCAGTAATAATTAACGATGCCGAGTCCCGTTGCGCCCTGCGGGACGACCCGTAGCCGCGGACGACTCTCCCGTTACCGAGAGTCTTGAAGGAAGCGGGGAGGCTGCTGCTGCTGCTGATGATGCTGCTGCTGCTGGTGCTGCTGCGGTGGCGGCGAGGTGGGGGTGACGGCGGTGGAGGAAGGGGAGACGCGGCGCGTTGGCTCCGACGGTTCCGCCGAACCCCAGACGGCGCGGGGAGGGGGTGGCGGGTCCGCGGGGGGCGTCGCTCGCTCCCGCAGCAGGAGTCCTGCCGGCGCTAGCGGGGACGGACGGGGGAGACGGGCGCAGGCAAACGGTCATACGACGAGCCGCGGCAGCGCCGGCGACGATGGGCCGGGGGCGCCGGGCGGGTGAATGCACGGCAAGGTGGCACAATAGGTTTTTTCGGTAAAGTCACGTAGGTAAAAAATTAAGTTAATAAAATTTTTATTAAAATAAAATAAAAATCACGACGTTTCGGAGGCAACACAAGCTTCCGTCTTCAGGTGGACCCGTCACAGCATGAAAGCTGTATCAAGTAAATATCTTGATTTTTATTTTATTTTTATTTTACTTTTATTAATTTTTATTTTTTACCTACGTGACTTGACCGGAAAAAACCTAAGAATATGAATCCTTGCAGTCACGAAAGCTTCAAATCTGGAAACAATTGGTGGGGTTGAGGGGGGGGAGAGGCAACGTTTGGGTGGATCTGGCGGTCAGCGCCGCCGTTGGCGGAGGTGGGCAAGGGTGGCGCTGTTGCTGCTGCTGGTGCATTAGGTGGGTGATGGTGGTGATGGTGGTGATGGTGGCATTGATGCTGGTGCATTAGGTGGGTGATGGTGG